GAGGAAACTCTAGTCATCAGAATGCAAAGAAATCAGGCAGTGGGTGAGTACCTGCAACACTCCACTGGTCCATCGAAGGCAGCCCATCGTTGTCTCGTTCGTGTAGTCAACCATCGCTACAGACAGGACAAAAAACATTGGCTGGATAGGAAATCAGACAGAAAGTTCGATCAGGCAACCAGAAACGGTGACTAACGAACAGTGTTCAAGGAAATGAGACTGTTGTCCAGTAAGCAAGGGATCCGGTCCGTCCTTATTCAAGATGCTAAACGTGCCACTGGCAGGTCAGAAAGAACCTCAAAAGGTGAGCTGAGTATTTCCAGACGCTTCTCACCGAGCTGCCCTCCAGATTCGTCATTTCCAACTGTTAATTGTCTGCGGTCACTTCAAGGTGAAGAAGGGTTTGTGCGATGGATTGATTTCCTCCGGGAGATAATAAAGTATGGAGGAACGAGAATGGTGAAAAAACTCCATGTGCTGTTTCATCAAATGTGGACTACAAATGTTTTTCAGGAGAAGGGAAGTGTGAAGTGACTGTCCCAATATTTAAATGAAGTCGGGTGACTGAGTGTTCCAATTATCGTCGTAGCACATGCTGTGTACTCTTAAGAAACTCTTCTCGTGGATTAGCTCGCAAAAGCTGAGGCAGGCCGTTGACGAGAGACCTCGCACGAATCAAGTTGGACGCTCCTGCCCGACAAAATATTCACTCCTTATGCGATGCGATGATTTCAGTTACCGTGGTTTGCCATTGTTTTCGACACCAAGGCTGCATCCAATCCATCAGACGGTGCGACGATGTGGAAAGTCTTGAAATGCTACGGGATACCAGAGCACAGTGTTTCTATTTCGTAAGAGACGTGAGCAGGAACCTGCCGTGAAAGTTGAAGGAGAACTAGCAGAATGGTTCCGTATCAACTCTGGAGAGCTTTCGCCTTTGCTGTTCGACATTATTTTCGCCTTTCCTCTCCGAAACAGTAGCAAAGACGAAAGTCTCATTCTACAGGGAAGCCGCAGTTCAACAACCCAAATGACACTGTCCTGGTGAGTAGTGCGGGGATCGGGCTTTGTTACATTACAGCTTCCGTTTGTAACATAGCTGTAAAGTCCGACCTCTTCTCCTGAAATTAAAAAGAGCTCTATTAAGAGCAGGGTGCAGCTAATGTGAAAGTGGAACGGAGAGGTGAAGCGCTTCAGGAGGTTGACCACTTTAAACATCTCGGCTCCATCGCTTCCAGCGATTGCACTGTCCAGCTAGAGTTAAATAGGACGATCGGCATTGTCTTGAGAGACCGAAAATTTTTCCCATATTCGGGCTGAAACAGAAGTTACACTAGCCAAAAAAATCAGTAGGTACCTGGACTCTATCAAGTCATTGTTACTGTATGGTATGCAGACAGCTTTTCCAACGAAAGATCAAAAGCGGCAGTTGAACTGCGCGCAGAGGCTTTGGCTTCGACGTATGATGAAAGTTAGAGGGCAGGACCATGCAAGAAATGATTTTTTCTCTTCCTGACACAGGTAATCTTAGTAGATGTTTAGAATAACAAAATGAGTTTTCTGCTGTTAGACAAATTGGCTGAGCATAAACCATTTAGTCCAAATTGTGAGCTTCTTATGTGGAACATCAAACATGGCAGATGTCGACGAGGAAGCCAGTAAGAAACATGGAAGAACAATGTAGTGACAGATCATTTTCGGAGCAGAATATTTCCTTATACAATATAATAAACGTGCCATATAGCAGAAGTGTCGAAAAGCTGCGGATACGGCGAATATCACAAATCACGGACATTCTTATAAGCAGATGGTTCAAGATGATGATTTCAACAATTACCAACTATTTCGACTACCTGCTTCAACTGCCAGACCACCGAACTGGCCCCAAAGAGGGAATGGCAGTCTGTCTGTGTTTTTCTCAGTCGGTCGCGACCTTTCTCTTCTTGGTTGCTGCTGAAAATCTTTAGGTAAGATGAAAGTCTGCACGGAGTACTCCTAATGGATAACACTGAAATCGACTGATTTGAATTCCTAACCCCAGATATGCACGGCTAAATCGCACCACTCAGTTGCTTCTCATCATCTAGGGGCCGTTTAAGCAGGTCGTGGCTTCGTGGAATTCAAGCACTTACAGCGCAAAGGATGCAAGACCGCATATCTGAACTGGGTAGAACAAGGGAGTGCAGGGTCATCAACGAAATCTGCCACAATCCGTTGGCAAAGACGTAGACAAAATAAACAAAATCCCTTCAACTAATGTGCTTATACCCATATTTGGGTTGACCTTTCTTAGAAAGTGATGCACAACAAGTGAATGGTGAATACGCAGAAATTGACTTTTACAAGAAAAATAGCGCAACTGAGTAGTTGGGTTAGCCTCCAATTCCTTGATGCCATTTCGACTACAAACTGCACTGAAATCCAAGGCAGGCTCCACACGTTCCCACCATGAGACGACCCCTTCTTTCATTTCCTTCTGGGTCACTGCGAGTTTTTACAGGCGGTCACCCTACAGTCCAGTCGAAGAATGGCCATCGTCGAAGATGCACCGCATGCAAAAAACAAGCGACATGTGCTGGCGCCTGTCAGCAAGCAACAACAACTTAATTACGGCTTATTTTCATGATCAATTGATCAGTGAGCATCAGAGACGGTCTGTCAGATAAGTTCTTGACACTATCGTTTCTCGGAGAACGAATTCGTGCATTCCGGTTCTTGTGGCGT